ATCTAAAAATATATAGACTCATATGAATATTTAGGAGTTCACCTATCTGCAAACCTATCCTACAACACCCATATAGAATACGTTAGTGAAAGTGCTCATCTAGCCTTAAGTTTCATATGAAGGCATTTGTTAATGGCAACGGTGGAAACTAAACTCATTGCGTACACTACTTTTATTAGGCCTAAGTTCGAATATGCATCTGTTATTTGGAACCCGTATCAAGCATATGTATTTGACAGTCTTGAATCTGTACGAAACAGGGCAACTCGGTTCATACTAAGAGCACATTCATCTATACGTGTTACACAGCCTCAAACAAGATTCTATCGGTTTATTGGCGCTGATTCAGGGGAGGTATCTTGCGAGGTCATCTCTTTTCCCAAAAATGTTTCATAGCTCATTTGAATTTCGTCAATATCGCGTCCTACCACCTGCACGCATTTTTCCTCGTCATGATCAACCCAACAAAGTGTCCATTCGTTTCGACGTAAAGTACCTCGATACGTGTTCGTTTTTGTTTTTTTTTTCACAAGTAACAACAACCCATACAAATGACAAAGCACATTCCGCTGGAACAAAATGGCTGCATTTAGTTCAAGCCTCTGCTGTGCGTCGCTATTCGCTTTATAAAACTTGCATCGTCACACATTCGGCGCTTCAAAGAATTTCGCTACTTGTAAGAAGTTATCATGTATAGGAACTTTAGTCTCCCGAAGACTAACTTTTTATTTTAATTTTCCCCCTTAGTTCTGGCCACGACTGACTGGAATGAGTTAGCAAGTGAAATAGTTCTGACCCTAAATGCCGATCACTTCATGTCGCTGCTGCGTAACTCACGGTGGCTGTATCTCGAAACAACCCATTCTGATTTGAACCCTTCTTGTTGGATCCCAATCGCAAAACGCCCTTCGCGTTTAAAGGGGCTGTGCAACAATATTAGCGTCGAAAGAAATCACAGCCTGTAGTTATTATCCTATGTGCCTTGCCCTAGGTGACAGAAAACACCCAACCTTCTTCGGAAATGTTGTGATTTCAGAGAGGGCTGTGCAGAGAGGGGTGTGCAAACAGTCAAGCGAGCGCTGCTCAAGCAAGTACTTGAAGACGACCTCCAAGGAAAGAGAAGGAATATCCAGGAGAAGTTGTCGTGTTTCCTACTTGCCTACAGGACGACACCACACACAAGTACTGGAAAGGCCCCTGCAGAGCTGTTCCTGGGTCGGCTTCCGCGGACCCGACTCTCGCAGCTCAAGCCAGGTGCAACGTCCCTTCCACGACAAGAGAAGCAAAACAAGAAAAAGGAGCTGGCTGACAAGCACGGAGGTCCAACGAAACTCTTTCAAGTGTGCGGCAGAGTTTGGGTCAGAAATGTAAGGGGGGAGAGAGTAAACTGGACTGAAGGAATTTTAAAGAAAGTAATCAGTCCGGTTACATACCTGGTGCGGGTGGCTAACCAGATTCGTTATGTGCATGCTGATCACTTGCGCTTTCGAAGTGAGGGCGAATGTGAGGTGCCTATGCCACTGAATGCTGACAGTGGCCTAGCTGCTCAGGAAGTTCGACGGTCGAGCAGAGCTCGACGCCCTCCAAGTAGATTGGTGTACAAGTATTCCTTTATGTAAGTGTGGAGGAGTGTTGTGTATGTATAAAGCAATGTAACAGGTTCCTATTCTCACCACCAGGGTGCGCTGGGTTTTGCCCTGCAAAATGTGTCTTCGCCATATTAAAATTGTTCTTTGTGTGATGTTCCTCTGCTTAGGAGCTTCTGTTTTTTGGCGCTTCGGCGCGACACAACACTTATATACCTACGGGAGCACACCATCAGACATAAATTTGTCAAGTTAGCCACGCCCAGGCCACGTTTTAAATATTCACTCATCCGTAGATCTCTATCTATGGATGTGTTTGAATATTTTAAACGTGGGCTGGACGGGGACTAACGTGGCGTGTTATGTCTGATGGTGTGCTCCCGTAGATATATAAGTTTGTTTGTTTTTTTCCGAATAAATTCAGTTTAGAGTGCGCCCTGTGTCTTTGTTATTGTACTCTTTATCCGTGCCCCTTCGGCGCTTATTTCCCATGATGTACCAACTGGCCCATCTAAGCATTTTTTTCCAAAGTGCTAGTGCAGGTTCGGTACTTCATTTCTCTTATGGCACTGTTGATGTGAATATGCCGTCGTATGGAGCGTATGGATCATTGAGTTCGTCGTTTGTTATTTGTTGTATGATGGCTAATTCGGGTGGTCATTTCCCGGCAAAATATTTTGACATATCTTCGGCAAGAGAGTTCGCATGGTCAACGGCTTTCCGCTGCAGGACGTGGGTTCCTGTTTACCGCTCTAAGGTAATACTCAAACTCGTTGATTTGACTTTGTGCCGTCCGTCATGCTGCGGATTGGCATGACGTCGAGATGTCATTCTCTAAGAAGCATTTCAGGGCGCAATAAAGTTTTAGGTGCGTTGACTTCATAATGTCATTGGTTCCTTAATTTTAGTTTCTCGTGAACGTATGTTGAAATTATTGTTTTTCCCTAGCCTGATCATGTGCACGGTTAAAATGAGAAACGTCTTTTTGGGAATGGTCAAAACCAGAAAGTATGTTATGAGAAAACTTGAAAGGAGAAAGGTTAAAATGGAGAAAGCTCGTTTTGAGGATGGTCAAAACCCAAAAGTTTGTTTTGAGAACTGTTTAAGTGAGAAAGGAAGAAAGGCGAAAGTTGTTTTGCGCTGGTTTGAGATGAGAAGGTAAAAACGAGAAGGTAAAAATGCGAACGGGTTCAAATGAGAACCCCCCCCCCCCCCCTCACCCTCACGATGACCCGCCTTTTGTAACTATGTTTATCACTGACTTGAGGGGAGCACTCGTGATTAATTTTCGCATATTTTTTATGTGTGCGCTGATTACCGTGACTGTCTATTACGTTCATATTAAAAAATAGCGTAAAAAGGACGGGACCAAAAGACTAAGCAGCACACAGAACAAGCGCTAACTGGCAACTAAAGGTTATTGAACGCTTCCACCTTTGCTATTGTCGTACACGCGCGTAATCTCATATCAACAGAAACCCGGCGAACCGCCAAATCAGTAGATATAATCCGCCCACCGCCTGTTCAAAAATTAGCAAAACAGCTATACTTCGTTTCAGCTTAGGCCCGAGCGCGGCCGATGTTATGAGCCGAAGGGCCAATCAAACAGCGAAAGAGGCACAACGTCATGGCGTGCACTCTACAGTTGATAGGACCACCGGTATTCGCCGTTTCTCTGTGCGTGCTTCTCCGCCGGCTAGTCCTATCAAGCGCAGAGAGCACGCCATGACGTTGCGCTTTTTGCGCTGTCTGATTGGCCCTTCGGCCCATAACATCGGCCGCGCCCGGAGATAAGGTGAAACAAAGTATAGATCACCCCACCGCAGAACCCGAACGAGGAAAGGAAAACGCCTCCAGCAAGTCTCTCTCTAACCTTCCTTTGTTGTGCCCCTCCACCTGCGCACCGTCCAGCATCGGGGAACACCCCACAAGTTTTACGATGCCCCGGCAAGTGACGACCGTAATTGTTGCCAAGAGAAGCCACATGTTCTCGAAGTCTGTCATCTCAGCAACGTCCCCGTCTGGCCTATCTAACAGAGGGTGGGCGGATTATATCTTCTGATTTGGCGGTACGCCGGGTTTCTGTTGGGATGAGATTACGCGCGTGCACGGCGATAGCAAAGGTGGAAGCGTTCATTAACCTTTAGTTGCCAGTTAGCGTTCAATAACCTTTAGTTGCCAGTTCTTTGTCTTTTGTTCCCGTCTTTTTTTGCGCTATTTTTAATACGAATGTCATTTACCAACTTGCCCAGCAGACTAAGCTTTTAAAATATCTATTATGAATTTGTTTCGGAATTATCGACTTGAATTTATCGTTTTCTGTGTGTGCGCACGCGTTGGTGCCAGTAATTATTGATTGCGAATTTTAGTTTTTGATATACATTTTGAGGTGATATTTTTTTACTTCTTTTTATCGATAGATATTGCATAATTATTTATTTGATTTCTTAAGATTCCCCCTTTATGTATGCCCCGCCGGGGCCTTTAGAGGTACCTAAATAAATAATTATTAAATAATGCTGTAAGTCTCATTCGCAAAAACTATGGAAAGGATTAAGACAAACTGAAATACTGAAATTACGAAATAAACATATATCTGTAAACTGGAAGATCTGAGGAATTCAATAAAGTACAAAAGAAAGCTCTAGAAGGATTTATAGCCTCGTATTTTACTTTCAATTTTCCTATAAGTACTCCAATGCAACTGAAGACAATGTAGCGATTGAGAAGTGGGCCCGCCGGTGGCCAAAAAAGTCCACCATAGGTGCCGCTAAGGCGGCTGCGTAAAAACAACAACAACAGAGTAAGCATAGGTTTCTGCGGCCACAAATACGTTTCTGAGTTCCGTACTCGATGGAGCCGCTCGCCAATCTTGTCTGCTTCACCAACACCGAGAAGAAAGGCCAGTTAAGCGTCTGCATTCACGCTAATGAGGAGATGGGCTAATCAACATGGCGGAACGCGCGCCTCAACCGGAAGTGCGCGTCGCGGCGCTCGCCGTGGTGCGTGTCCTCATGTCTATGTCGTGCTCCTGTAGCAAGCAGATAACACCCCTTCGATCCTTAAGCGCCCTGACGGTCGACCACCTAAAAGACGAGGCCCGCGCTCGACATCATCGTTAGTGCGTACCCGACACGCCCGGAGTGGCAAAAACGCTGAAGCTCGGCTAGAGTCGCTGCAACGGCAGACGCGTCCGTCTTGGCGTGGCCGCGTGCTAGGGTCCTGTTCGTTGTGAGACAGCGAGACGGGTTGGCAACGGTGAGGACGTTTTGGAAGGAGAAGGTGCTGCCCTTCTTCTAGATAGTGTAGGCCGAGGGCAGTCGGAGAGTTTCTCGCGGGCGTGTTGTCGTGCTGCGCCGGTTGGTCGGTTTATTCCCTGGTGACTCTTTTGTTCCCTAACTCGAGTTTAAAAACATTTGAGAAGGTGGCAGGAGTGTGCTATTCCGCATAATTGCGTCGTTCTGAGCGCCCCGAACGAGGCGTCGACGGGCGAAAGATGAAGCTCCTGGGCGTTCCGGATTGGATCATCTTGGTGGCGACAGCCCTCGTCCTGCTGTACTTGTAAGCGATGCACTCATTCTATTACTAGAGAGGAGGGACTCACAGAAGTCACCTCTTCTTACAAAGCACGCACCAGCGAGCGCTAGTTTCTTTTTTTTTTTTTCTTACTTATTTTTTTTTATAATTGTGCCGCTATTATCAACATCGAAATACTCTATTTCACACTAGATGTCCGAGCGCACTAGCCGACACTAGAACTCCATGGGCCAATCAGTCAGCGGCAAAACGGCATCGTCCCGACACTTGTCGTCAATGCAGTGTTACCAACCGTGGGGACATGTGTCACCTGTAGGGACTTTTCTACGGACATAAAATAACCAAAAGGCTCCTGTAGGGACCTTTTTGGTCCAGAGCTGGGCACCGTATAGCCCAAAAGCAGAGAGACGTGAGAAACGTACTCCGGCAGGTAATATTTTTAAAACATATATTCATTAATGCTCTGAACTCATCAGGAAGTTTTACCGTAGCGTTACCGCAGGTTACCCTTAACGAATACGGCACCGCACTGGGGAGCAGACTTGTAATAGCGCAGGCTCACCGTAGCAATACCGCACCGTACGCGGAACACGGTCAAGGTTGGTATACACAATCCCGTTTTCTGACGTAACGGTATACTTTGCTAAAATTTCCTGATGCTACGTTGATATTCCAATCTTCTTATTGAGGTTGCGGCGCGGGAGTAGAAGCAAAATCTGGAAGTGAAATCAAAGGCGGTACGACAGGGCATAAAAAGCGATTCAAAACTACGATGTGCGAAGGAAGAAATATTTGAAAAACAAATGCAATGAAATGGAGCACTTATCAAAAAGGGTATTTCATGCGTTCGATACAACTATCCACGATAAAGAAAAAAAACTATCACAATACAAAAACTACGACATCAAAACGCGTCGTCAGTTGTTTTGGAATTTTTCTCGTTTATTTATAAGTTTTCGCTTGAACTGCGGTCTCTTTTCTTTTTCTTTTTTTCCCTCTCTGCGCCACGACGGGCGAGTTATTAAAATATTCAGTTGGAGGAGATTTTTACGCACACTGTTAGCAGTCAAACTCTAGTGAATTCAAAACCAAATACAACCGGGACTGGAGATTGCGCGTTTTTGTTTCCATAGGCATTTGTGACTACTATAATGTTGGGACATGTAGGGGCAGTTTCTTCGGGGTGGCTGTAGGGTTTTTCGCGAGAAACGTCTGCGTCGTTGTGCAATTGTTACACTTAGTCTAGGTCGCACAAGTTATTACCCGTTACAAAGGACATAGCCCTTAACATCTATCCATCCATCCGTGTTATCATCAGATAAACCGATCACGCACAGTGAATGCGCCGATATCCTGAGGGTTAGATAGCAGACGCAGAAAACGGCGAGCTGCGTCTGACGTCACGCCACTGTGGTGGCGCTGCTGTCGGCACTGCGCATGCGCAGATGCTTCTCCTCGGGCGAATCTGATTTCTTAGGACGCGCTGTGCCCGCATCCGGTCAACGCGGAAGAAAAATAAACGAATGACCCGACGCTACGAGCTAATGGGGCCGATCAAGCAGCTTCAAAAAAACAAGTCACAGTGCATTTTCTGTTTACAATTGATTCAGCTATAATAGAAGACGTCGAGGAACATGACGAACACCATAATGGTGCGCCTATGACGCTGTCTGATTGGCCTCATCAGCTCGTAGCGTCGGCCGCTGAAGAGACTTTAAATACGAGAAAACAAAAACAAAAAAACATTCGCATGTTGTTTAATAGTACCCAGCCATTACGAGTGTCATAATGGTCGGATAATTTTATGGTCGGATTAGCCAGAAAAACAGCTCCAAAGTAGCACTGAAGCAGCGCACCTCCGGAGTAGAGGGAAAGGAGAGGGAGGGGGAAGCCCTACACTCGTACGTGAAGGTCGAGGCAGAGGAAGCCCTCACCACTATCACAAGGATTTCACACGTGCTTCTTTCTTATCGGTTACAGACATGGAGGGCCATGCTACGCAGTAATTCGTGTAATCTAATACCTTCGTCAGACGGGCACCTAAAATGAAATTTACGCTAAACGCCTTTACGAGGTGCGGTCAAAAAGTTTCGGGAATAATTTTGTAGCGTAAAAAGAGACGGCAGCATAGTGATGCGCGCGCAGCAGTCGGTGGCAGGGACCTTCCCGTGGTATTAGGACAAAGCGCGCCGCTCTGTGAACATTCGGAACTGCGCTACAGAAGTTTGTTTATTTGACGAGTGTGTCATCATAAGGGCGATCTCTTCATAGACTGGAAACCAAACCGAGATCGAAGATTAATTTTACGTCAAACTTGCCAAATCTAAAACGGAGACCTCTGAACTGATTTTGAAGGCTTATGCCAAAAAACAGCGACGTGTGCGAGCTGCTTTGAGTGTCACTCGCTCCTCAAGAATGGCAGAACGTCACTCAGGTCAAAAAGAGGTCGGATAAAGTCGCCCCACAGCTCTTCGTCTTCTTGCGATATTCTGCCGTTCTTAAAGCGCAAGCGCCACTTAAAAGGCTTCGCAAAATTTACTGTTTTCTTTCTACAGCGAAGCTGTATACCTCTACCAGCAAGGAAATTGTAGTGTCGTCGTTGTAAGCAAAAATCTTCCGGTGAACAATTGAAGGCAAAACAGCCTATCTCCTTTGAAATCATGCATACCACATACAGCTCAGTATCCGTTTGAATAAAGAAAACCACAAAACAAGCATCAAAACCACATGATGGATGATAAGGCGCGTGTGACCAATAGGAACAGCCTCCCACGCGTTCCGGTAAAGATTAGGTTTGCAGCTGCTTCGAAAGGAGTTGACGTCATTCGAAGCCATCGAGTGAAGTGCAAAACGCTGCCACGGCGACGGCAGCTTACGATGTGGGGAGTGACGTCACTAGCCTTTCATATATAAAAGGAGAACCCGCCTATACCCCGTTTCACCTTACGTCAAGACGCAGCGGGTGCTACGAGCTATCTTAGCCATTCCCTTTCTGTGGACGTGGCCCGTGATACGCTTTCCGCGCGTCGCTGTGCCCCCTCTCTAAGGTCACGTGACACTCTCACGGCCTCCGATTGGCTCCGATGGCTCGTAACATCCGCTGCGCTCAAACGTAAGATGAAACGGAGTGTAGCAACTGATTTCATTGTTGCTGCAGCACCGCGATGAATCGGCCACGCATAGTTAGGACTCCCGAGGAGCAGTGTGAATACTATAGGAGCGGCAAAGGGAAAAGAAACGGCAATACGACCAAGCCGCGGCGTGCTGCGACCAGTGGCGGCATTTCGTATAGTGCAGTAGGCAATCGTTGCAGGTGATACCACAGCTTCGCTGACCACCCACCTACACAGCGTGGATTAGAGCCCTATTTTTCTTTTTTTTTTTTTACACAAGCCTGGTGAACTATTTTAAAGGTCTCTGTTTTATATTTGTCGAGTTTGACGTTCGCACTCGCTCTGGTTTGCAGTCTATGGTGAAATCGCCATTTTATACCCATGCACGTGGTCCCAAGAACTCGCGAAGCGCAGCTCCAAATGTTCACAAAGCGATGCCGTTTGCTTGGGGAAGGTAAGAGGGGGGTGGGGGGGGGGGGGGGGGGGGGGGTTTACACACACAAGGGGGCATCGCGCTGGTAGGATGGCGGCGTGGCCTGGTCTCAGGGGAAGCTCTTCCATCGCCCGAGGAAGGGCTCTTTAGCTCCAGCTTCGGTGAACAATGCAGCCTGCACCCTCACGTTGCCAAGCACGAAGGCCGACAACCGTTTTGGGGAGAGCCACGCTAATCCGGCTTGTGCCAACAACACTCCGTTTACCGTCCACACTTTTTTTATGTTACAACATATATATGTTGCAAATTTCTGGGCTATTGTGTTGCACGTGAATCGTGTGGTTTCAGTTCGATTCCTCTGGGATTGTCGTCCACGCTCTCTGCGGTCTTCATTGGTTAATTAGCGATTGGCTTAACGCCTGGTATGAAGTACACTCGATAGCAATTCATGGAGTGAAGATACCGGCGATTACCCGAGTTTGAACCCCTGCCGCTCTTCCAGAACCCTCCATGGCCGCAGAGGTTTCTCCGACGACATCCAAACCACCGTCAGCGCCTGAGTAATGGTGCAATCACCAGCTAATCAGTGTCGAGTGACGTCACCAATCGGCGTCGAGCTAGGGGATGTGACGTCATCGCCTGGCTCACCCAATCAGCATCGAGTTAATCGGCGGCTTTAATTTATGGCTTCACAAATTTCTAGACTTCCTCCCCTGACCAGACAAAGCACGTTTCACGTGAAGAAGAAGCAGTCAACGTTCCGGCCACATCGTGGTTCCGGCCCACTTGAAGCGGCTATGTCGCGTCGCTATACCCTTTGGCGCAAGCGGCTCCTTGCGACTCGCTGCGTCACTGCTTCGGGGGCCATTTTTCTGTTCTGCCAACGGCTGGAACGCGTACTTCGTAACGCGGAGGGTTCTCTGGACATATGCCCCTTCAGGATCCACCGAAAGGAAGTCGGAAGCCGAGCCCGATTTACAAGAGCCAGAAGTGTCGTCGCCCGATTACTTCCGAAAGTGACAGGGCAACTGAGAGTCGATATTGTCCCTTTATGGCCAACAAATGACGTACGCTGGGGCGGTCAATTCCGTTCTCTTCGCTCTTTTTTTTTCTTCTGGGGGGGGGGGGGGGGGCGTTTAATGATTATATTGTGTCAAACACTTGTGATATTTGGACTCAGCAGGCACAGAAGCGGATCAACGAAACGAAGTATATCGAGATAGATAAAAGCCTATACCTACAATCAGCCTATCAAGCTATCCCTGACCAAGAGGACAATTCACTATCTCGGACTGGCACTCGAGTATGAAAATACCCAGAAAGCGTAGGGCGGCTCTTCGATCCAGCTCTTACGTTTCGTCGATTATTACTCGTGGGCCGCGACGACCCTGTTTCTCGAAGCGTGCACGACCTTCGAAGTGGGGGCCGCAGTGATCGTTTTTTAACGTATAGACCTACGATCTCTGTCATAGGTGGCG